CAAATAACCCCTGTTGTTTTTTTCAGTTAAGGTGCCAAATCAAGAATATGGATCTTAGAATTGTTCAAAACTTGTTGAAACATTGACCGAACAAAAATTAACGTTTTTCTTTTAGTGAACTTGATCTTGCATAAACGACCTTGGGTCAAGGCTATGACACATCCTCGGGTCATAAACAATGTTGAGAGCTTAAGATTATTTTAAAAGATTTTTGCCGCTCAAAACCCATGGAGCATGGAAGTATGAAATTTCAACTGTTGCTCATGATAGAACAATGTATGTAGAGTTAATTTGTGCATATAATTGCCAAATAAAAATGATTTTAAAAACACAAAAATCGCTCAAATCTCCTAACCGGATGTGACTGCATTTAAATAAAATAAAAATGTATCTACATTTTTGATGTTCTATTAGACCCTTGAATTTCATGAAAATCTATCAAGCCTTTTGCAAAATTGGTAAGGAAAAATAATACGAAGAAAACTAGAGCAAAGCTCGTTCCAAAGCAACGAGGTCTTCCAACCTGTTTGACTGGAAGTAACTTTTATTTAATTAGCTTAATTAATTAAAATTATTTGATCTTCACATACGTTTTCAAGCAGCTTCATTTCAGGCACGTCACACTACACAGTGCCCTTGACTGCCATCACAATTAAATACAATAACGTCACAATGAAAATGACGTCAAATTCTGCTAAAATGCTTCGGAAATCTTTGTAACTTTATAGACTGTGCATGTAGAAAGCTCGCCCATTCTGGCATTTCCATTTTTCACATCTTTTGAAAAATAAATGCTTTGATTAATAAATAACTTTTGAACATAATTTACTTCAGGTATAAATTTCTAGGTACAGATCTATAAATTTTATCTTGTATTTCAATTTATGAGTTTAAAAAAAAAACACTGCAACCAACTTTAATGATTTTAGTCTTTCTTTATGAACATGTTGATATGTTTATACACACCCATTTTTATTGAGGACTTGAAAATGCAAGGATTATCTTGGGTTTAAAGAAATAAGTCTATGAATCATTTAATTGTAACTCCCCAAATATTTTATTTTTGTTAATGATATTTTTAAAAATTAGTAATTTTATTGCCTTTAACACACCTTTCCCCCTTTTTTCCACGTAAAACAATGTTATGTGTTAGAAAAAATTAAACATGGAGAGAAAAGTACCTAATAATGTAAGAATTTTTTAATATTTAGAAACTAATGCAGTATTACCATTGTTTCTTGATGTTATGTACACTTATTGCGATTTATAAAATATCGAGTTGGATAAAATAAGTCCTATTTTGGGTTTTGATATGCCCTCTTTTAACTTCATGTTTTAAAAAAGGAACAAAAATTGTATGAATTATATCAAATCAAAACATTTCCTTTATTTTTTTATTTTGTAAACTCCTTTGTATATTGGGGAGTTTTAATACGTATAACTATGTAAAAAAGATGTGTTTGTGAAACACTAATGCCCTCGTATGGCAACATATCTAAGATTAAACTTTTCTCAAATGCAAATTTAATTAATTGGTACCATAAGTAGGGTATTCTCACTGGAAAACAAGTGTGAAATTTGGGAGTAAGCCAATGTTCAAATTTTTTTTTTTTCAATAAGTACAAAAATCTCCAAGGTTAAGGTCAAAAGGTCAATGTAATTTGATATCAAATGAAAAGTCTTGCAACATAGAATACTTATCTAGAGCGTGAAAGCCCTAGCCCCAAATACCTGAAGTTATCATCAAGGTTCCATTTTTTACAAAGTAGGTCAAAATCCAAGGTCAAAAGGTCAAAGTTCTTGTTATGAAATGAAAGGTCTTGTCACAAGGATTAAATATGTAAAGTATAAAAGCACTAGCCCTAAACCTTTAAAAGTTATAGCCAAAGTTTGCTTTTTTAAAGTAGGTCAATCTTAAAGGTCAAGGTCAATGGGTCTCAAAGTTCCTGTTATCATATGAAGAGTCTTTTCACAAGAATTACATACATAAAGTATGCAAACCCTATCCCTTACAGTTCAAAAGTTATGGCCAAGGTTAGAGTTTTTTCATAAGTACAGAAATCTACAAGGTCAAAAGGTCAAGGTTGTTGGTATTAAATGAAAGGTCTTTCAACAAAGATTACATTTTTGAAGTATAATTGTACTTGTATCTACTGTTCAAAAGTTATGGCCAAAGTAAATTTTCATGTAAAAGTGGCTCAAACTCCAAGGTCAAGGTCAAATTTGGTGGTACTGATTATGAGTCTTTTGTTTAATGCTTATGAGTTCTGTGTCTTCTGGTTATGAGTTCTGTGTCTACTGGTTATGAGTTCTGTGTCTACTGGTTATGAGTTATGTGTCTACTGTTAATGAGTTCTGTGTCTACTGGTTATGAGTCCTTTATCTACTGATTATGAGTCCTGTGTCTACTGGTAATGAGTTCTGTGTCTACTGGATATAAGTTCTGTGTCTACTGGTTATGAGTTCTGTGTCACCTGGTTATGAGTTCTGTGTCTACTGGTTATGAGTCCTGTATCTACTGGTTACTAGTACTGTGTCTACTGGTTATGAGTTTTGTGTCTTCTGAATATGAGTTCCCTGTCTACTAGTAATGAGTTCTCACTCTACTGGTTATGAGTTCCCTGTCTACTGGTTATGAGTCCTGTGTCTACTGGTTATGAGTTTTGTGTTTTTTGGTTATGAGTCCTGTGTCTACTGGTAAGGAGTTCTGTGTCTACTGGTTATGTATGGGTCCTGAGTCTACTGGTTATGAGTTCCCTGTCTACTAGTTATGAGTCCTGTGTCTACTGGTTATGAGCTCTGTCTACTGGTTATGAGTTCTGTGTCTACTTGTTATGAGCTTTGTGTCTTCTGGTTATGAGTCCTATGTCTACTGGTTATGTGTTCGGTGTCTAATAGTTATTAGTTCCCTGTTTACTGGTAATGAGTCCTGTGTCTACTGGTTATGAGTTCTGTGTCTACTGGTTATGAGTTCTGTGTCTTCTGGTTATGAGTCCTATGTCTACTGGTTATGTGTTCGGTGTCTAATAGTTATGAGCTCCCTGTCTACTGGTTATGAGTCCTATGTCTACTGGTTATGAGTCCTATGTCTACTGGTTATGAGTTCCCTGTCTACTGGTTATGAGTTCTGTGTCTACTGGTTATGAGTTCTGTGTTTACTGGTTATGAGTCCTGTGTCTACTGGTTATGAGTTCTGTGTTTACTAGTTATGAGTCCTGTGTCTACTGGTAATGAGTTCTGTGTCTACTGGTTATGACTTCCCTGTCTACTGGTTATGAGTTCTCTGTCTACTGGTTATGAGTTCTGTGTCTACCGGTTATGAGTCCTGTGTCTACTGGTTATGAGTTCTGTGTCTACTGGTTATGAGTTATTTATCTACTGGTCATGAGAGCTGTGTCTACTGGTTATGAGTTATTTATCTACTTGTTATGAGTTCTTTATCTACTTATCTAGAGCGTGAAAGCCCTAGCCCCAAATACCTGAAGTTATCATCAAGGTTCCATTTTTACTGGTTATGAGTCCTGTGTCTACTGGTTATGAGTTCTGTGTTTACTAGTTATGAGTCCTGTGTCTAGTAATGAGTTCTGTGTCTACTGGTTATGACTTCCCTGTCTACTGGTTATGAGTTCTCTGTCTACTGGTTATGAGTTCTGTGTCTACCGGTTATGAGTTCTGTGTCTACTGGTTATGAGTTCTGTGTCTACTGTTTATTGGGTTCTGTGTCTACTGGTTATGAGTTCTGTGTCTACTGGTTATGTGTTCTGTGTCTACTGGTTATGAGCTCTGTGTCTACTGGTTATGAGTCCTTTGTCTACTGGTTATGAGTCCTGTGTCTACTGGTTATGAGTTTTGTGTCTACTGGTTATGAGTCCTGTGTCTACTGGTTATGAGTTCTGTGTCTACTGGTTACGAGTTATTTATCTACTGGTTATTGGAGCTGTGTCTACTGGTTATGAGTTATTTATCTACTTGTTATGAGTTCTTTATCTACTGGTTATGAGTTCTGTGTCGACTGGTTATGATTCCTGTGTCTACTGGTTATGAGTTCTGTGTCTTCTGTTTATGAGTTCTATGTCTACTGGTTATGAGTCCTTTGTCTACTGGTTATGAGTTCTGTGTCGACTGGTTATGAGTTCTGTGTTTACTAGTTATGAGTCCTGTGTCAACTGGTTATGAGTCCTGTGTCTACTAGTTATGAGTCATATGTCTACTGGTTATGAGTTCTCTGTCTACTGGTTATGAGTCCTGTGTCTACTGGTTATGAGTTCTGTGTCTACTGTTCATGAGTTCTATGTCTACTGGTTATGAGTCCTTTGTCTACTGATTATGAGTAATGTGTCTACTGGATATGAGTTCTGTGTCTACTGTTTAAGAGTTCTATGTCTACTGATTATGAGTCCTGTGTCTACTGTTTATGAGCTCTGTGTCTACTGGTTATGAGTCCTGTGTCTACTGGTTATGAGTTCTGTGTATACTGGTAAGGAGTTCTGTGTCTACTGGTTATGGGTCCTGAGTTTACTGGTTATGAGTTCCCTGTCTACTAGTTATGAGTTCTCACTCTACTGGTTATGAGTTCCCTGTCTACTGGTTATGAGTCCTGTGTCTACTGGTTATGAGTTTTGTTTTTTGGTTATGAGTCCTGTGTCTACTGGTAATGAGTCCTGTGTCTACTGGTTATTAGTTCTGTGTTTACTGGTTATGAGTCCTATGTCTACTGGTTATGAGTCCTTTGTCTACTGGTTATGAGTTCTGTGTCTACTGGTTATGAGTTCTGTGTCTACTGGATGTGAATTTCTTTGTTTACTGTTATGAGTTCTGTGCTTACTTTTCATGGTTTGCATGTCTATTGAATCTTTTGTCTACAGTTTCTAAAATACATAAAACTTGTGTCTAATTTTAAGAATCCTATATATATGTCTTCTAGTCAAGAGCCACATCACAAAACATATTTCTAAAAGAGACTTTTCACATGAATTAAAATGTTGAAATAAAATTTCGACCTGCTTACAATATATGTCGAAGGCAACAAATCCGTTCTCGCACAGGGAGGCAGCAGGTTCTGGTGAGCTAAGCAGGACTTCAGCCAGGAGTAGGATGGCAGGGAAGTCTCTCATCACCTGGTAATTAACAAGTCAAGAGGATTCAACATAAGTTAAACAAATGTCTATAATTAGTTGAAGTACCTACACTAAGAGAAAACATTGATTTTAGCGATTGAAACATCAGATGTGAAAAAGCCAACAATAGAGATTGTTCTATCTGACGTATCTGTATACGTATACGTATCCATATCGAGATATGAAAGGCATCTCGATCCCCATGTCTCAACCATTTAATACAGTTTGTGGTTAAATTAGTCTCGTTCAACCAGACCCTCAGCTGTCTCCGTAAATCTCCAACCACCCACAGTTCCCAGGTCGGAGTTCACGGAGACAGCCGAGCGTCTGGTTGAACGAGATTATGGTTAAATAAGCCACAGTCATGCATTGGAAAATAGCGAAATGACAGTTTTTCTATTAAAAATACTAAACAGCTGTAAACCTTTATCATTTCGTAGAAAAATATTTATTAAAAAAAAAATGAATTAATAAAGTATAAAATATTTCATTTTAATTTTTTTTTTTAAAGGTACTTGGACACAGATTTGAAGTTAATATTTTTTGTATAATATCACGAATTATATATTTTAATAGCATTTCACACAAAAATTAATTAAGAATCTTACTTTATTCAAAAGTTATTAAAACTTTAAATTTTCTGGCGGGTTTGATTGACACATCCGTGCACTTTCACAAATTTTAACTTTATTCTTAATCCTTAGGAAAAGTGGCAATCTTGTTGTGTATTAATGAGAAATATTAAAACTTATATTATGATAAATAATTTTATTCAGAGTAGAGACGTTAGAAAGCAAAACTCGTATACAAGTATCGTCATTCCGAACTAAAAGTTGCGTACAGAGTTTAACAAATCGAGCACACTCGTGTTATGTATACAGATTTTATAAACAAGGCAAGAGCTCTGTTTTTGTTTTGTGTTTACGATTCACCGGGTGCTTTGAATCGCCAAAGCCTGTTCACCACAAACTGCACGGACTGACAATAAATTGTGTGTTTGTTTTGCTTTCGAACACGTCTACTCTGAATTTTCTGGATTATTATAAGTATTGACATTTTTCATTAATACACAACAAGATTGCTAATTTTCATAAGGATTAAGAATAAAGTTAAAATTTGTGAAAGTGCAAAGATGCATCAATCAAACCCGCCAAAAGATTTAAAGTTTTAATAACTGTTAAATGAAATAAGATTTTTAATTAATTTTTGTGTGAAATGCTATTAAATTAGATAAGTCGTAATATTATAGAGAAAATACTTCAAAATATGAACTTCAAATCTGTGTCTAAGTACCTTTAAATTACATTCATTTTGTTTCAAAATATTTGTAGGATATCTCCTTTCTCTTTTTCCTCTCGCTTAATATCAAAATATTTTATTGATATATTCTGAATTATTTGTCATATACCTTTACACGGTATAACGGTATACCCCTAACCCCCACCCTAACACACACTGATATACAAAATACGTTATCATCAACGCGATTGATAAAACACTGTAGCCGTTTTTAAAGAGACTATTCAAACCGATTTCATAATTCGCTTCAGGACCGTTATAAGTATTGAGTATATGCATTGAAAAGCCTGTTCAACTCCCTCCTTTCCCCTCCCCTCACATTGGCGTCAGAGGCAAATTGCAATGTGCACACACGACATTTGATAACATCTTTTGACTATCACTCATTAACATCATTTGTGGTTTGATATAAAAACTATTTCAGAATATGGTATACAAAACATATAATCTCAAATCTCTTTTCAAGATCAAAACAAAATTTTCAAAATCATACATTTTATTTTGCTAAGTCTACTTGTGCTAATTTTCTTCTCTTTTTTATCAGATTTTCTTTTTTATTCATATATACAATTTGGCTGAGATCGAGATCTTGTGCACTGAGTGAAGAGAAGGAACTGCTTCAATGAAGCCAAGAAAAAAAAAACATGCATTAAAACAAAAATTACACTGATGGAATACATGTATCAAAGTTTTTCAGAGCTTGCTTTGTTCACTATAAACTCGATCATGTATCTTTCATAAAAAGAAGTTAATATGCAAATAGAATAGTTTAAGAAAGGAAGATAGATCGTAACCTAACATTTACTCCCCCCCCTTTATCGACAAATGTTAAATCAATCGAGTACTACATATACTGCGTTTAATCGCAACCTTGTCGTAAATTGTACATAATCAATTCTCAAGCTCCTTGAAACCCTGGTTACGCATAGGCGTCAGAACCAGGGGGCCTTAAGTCTCCCCCCTCACCCCCACTTTCTTGCAAAGATAGACATTAGACATAATATAGGCATTTGAAAGTGGGGTTTACCTTTTTTGTTGGTTTAGCGGCCCCTTTGAATTAACGCCCCTACTATTTGCCTGCGCCGCCCATCGACCCACAATTTAGAGAGTGTGTTTAAACCGCCCTAGAATTACAAACTATCCATTTTTTTTTTCTGGAGAACTATGACCATCAAATACGATTAATGGCAAAACATGATGCATAAGGCGTGTACAGCAACTGATATGTTTTTTATTAAAAAATCACGCTACATATCATTTTTTAGTGAATGAGGTTAAAAATCAAACATGAAACGATTGAAATGCAACCAGATTGTTTATAGACATCGGGATTGAGATGCCTTTCACAGATATTGATTTAAAAAAGAGGCCATGAACATGCTAATAACCATTTTCTGAGAGACTGTAGGCAATCTGTATACATTTCCTTTGTTGAATACGAAGAAAAACTCCTATGATCATGACTGGTTTTCTTAATTTTTCATTGAAAATAACAGTTTAAAATACAGTTTTTCATCTTGTTTACCTACAAATTATGCCCCGAAACACCTTATTTGACCAAGCTAAAGTTGTAAAGCACCTGTCCAATAAAGGAATGTATTACTCAAATTTGATAAATCTGTAGGCACCTTTCATTTACTAGATCTTGAACTTAAATAATAACTAGCATCTATACTTACTAAAACTCGGTAATTGTCTTTTGATCATTGGCCTCCGCCTCATAATTTCTGAGATACTCTGCCTGCAATGAACAATGAGCAATTTGAGACAGTGGTACTTATGTCTGTTCACGTTCTTATAAAGTCACAGGGATACAGGGGCTGAACATGATCAGAACTGAAAACAGACAGTCTGGCGAGACAATATCACGAGAAAGAACGAGAGAACTTGATGCCTTATATTGGATCTTTTTTGAGACTGCTTCACTATGCTGTACATACATGAAGTAAATCCAAAATATGTTACACCAAATAGCTAGAGCTATGTACACATGGTTATAGAACATTTGTGCAAAATGCTATGCAGTGTTTTCTTGAATCAAAATTGAAGCAACAATACATAACAGTCACCGTCTTGAAATAGACATGTACCAGGAGTGGTTATGTCACATAATCAATATAAATTGGAAGCTGGACTCTCCAGAAGCATCAATATAGACATCTTTCGGTAAGAAAGGAAATTTAGTTACTGTGCATCAAAATCAGTATTCAGAATTACTCAACGGTTACCGTAAAATTTATGACGTCACGTAGGGAAAACGCTAAAAAACCCAAAACACGTACAATTTGATAACGACGAGTTTGTAGACAAATCTTGTTGCATTATTTGATGCACATGAGGTATGCACATCGTTTTTCAATATTAAGAGACATTATGAATTTATAGCAATAGAAAATCCATGCAAAGGAGAAATAAGACTCTGACAAATGCACGAGATAGACATTGAGGATAATGAGAGTTTTCGATTTTCACTTTTGGGGGGTATCGTCATTTGACCTTCAATAACTTATGAATAATTAGACAAAATCATATGAGAATTTGGTTATATCTTTTTGAAAGATGATTTTAAAAGGTAGATAGGAAAACTAAAAAGTATTTTCAGAAAAAACTAATTTAATTCACCGCAAAAGTTTACCCTGCGTTTTTTTTTCCTTTCAGTATATATTGAATTTGTTAATATGAATACACTCGCAGGTGAACATCACATTATATATAGTAGTATTCACCAGGTCAGAAGGCCTCAGACTCACCTCTTCTTTATACGGTAGGGAGCGGAAGGCCTTACACTCACCTCTTCTTTGTATGGTAGGAGCGTTAGGCCTCGGACTCACCTTGTCTTGTATGGTAGAGAGCGTAAGGCGGCAGACTCACCTTTTGTATATGGCAATGTGCGGAATGCCTCTTGTCGTCTTCGTCACTCTCTTTATACAGTAGGGAGCGGAAGGCCTTACACTCAACTGGTCTTTGTACGGTAAGAAGCGTAAGGCCGCAGACTCACCTGTTCTGTAAATAGCAATGTACGGAAGGCTTCAGACAGTCTTATCACTCTCTGGATTTTCTTTCAATGCCTCCTTAAGGAACTGTATCTCGGCCTTCTTTAGTTCTCTCTCTTTAGTTCTCTTTCTTTAGTTCTCTCTCTTTAGTTCTCTCTCTTTATTTCTCTCTCTTTCAGTTTTGAAGGTTTTGGTGCAGCCTTGGTCTTGATCTTGGGAATCTTAGATTTCTGGCTTTCACCAACTCTTTTGATGTCGTTCTATTTATGATAAAAAGGTGTAGAAGACATCAGATTTCTGAATAGGACGAATCAGTAACACACTTAGCCTCTTGACAAATGTACATGTAGGTAAGATTAATATGATCATTTAGATCAAGCAACTTATAATTCATTGAATCTGTTTTCTATTTTTTTAATCTATCACAATGAATATGAATTGGTACATGTACAGACATTGCAACCTTTATCGAAAATTCACAGGGCCAAAAATGGACCAATGTGACTTTTCTTCTTTGCATCTCGCTAAATTTTTTACTTATACAATAACACTGATCTCGGCTAAAGAATCAAAGAAGTTTTCCTAAATACATATTCGGAAACAATGACCAAAATATACAATCCTTGCACATTGAATTCTGCACAGTCGCCCTCATGGTGCAGTGGTTAGAGCTTCTGCTCTAGATTCGCAAAGTAAGGAGTAAATCCTTACGTCCCGGGTTCGAATCCCACTGTGGGACGTGGCAACCGGTCCTTCGGATGGGACCATATAAACCGAGGTCCCGTGTTGCAGTAGGTGCTGGCACGAAAAAGATCCCTCACTGCTCAAAGGCCCTGAGTGCCGAGCATATGACAAAATAGCATTATTTATCAGGTCAATTACAGCCGGTGAGTGCCTATGAAATTAATGTAAAAAATAAATTGGAAATATTTCTAATATTATCTCTTCTACAAATCAAAATCTATTAAACATATCTGAATATCATTCTAAAATGTTGATTTAATGGGGGCCAAAATCGGCTCTTACCATATTTACTATTAAAATCTTTTAAGGATATGATTGATGTACAGAAGATGCCCAAACAGCCAAGGGAATTTTCTTTTCTGACCCAGGATGCCAATTGTTTTTAATTTAATACATTACCTCAATCTGAGTTGGAGTCGCTATTCAGCATATCTGGTATCATCTCTACTCGATGGAATCATCACCAACCTGAATCTGGATCTTAGTTATCTTCTCTTCTTCTTCTCATCTTTTAATTGTTCCTTGAGTTCATTTATCTGTCAAAATCAGTGTTATAATGCAGATTCGTATTAATTCAACTGTTTAAACAGATACACAATATATATTTGATCCAGTAGTTTTAATTTCATCCTTTGGGAAAACTGGGCGGAGGAAGCAAAAACGACTTTTTCTGCATTGAAATCCTGGATCACAGAAATCTCCTCACAGTACACAGTACGCGTAACAGAATAACTTTTTAAGAATGTGATTGATGTGCAGAAGATGCTAAAAAACTTAGGGATTTTTCTTTTCTAGCCTAGGATGTCAATTGCTTTTAAAGTAATATGAGCTGTATCTTTGAGAATTTTGTTTTGCTAGTAAAATGTGCTATTATGATTTATTTGTATGTAATTAAAGCCCTTATGACCAATAAGCCCAAAAATAATGTTTAAAATGTATGAGAATAAAATATTTAAGTATAACGGAATACAGTTTTATATAGGAAATAATTATTGTACACGACAACAATAATTCAATTTTGCTTCAATCAAAGCTAATAAAAAAAATTCCATTGCAAATATGAACAACAGAAGTTTATAAATGATTCATTTTTCTGTCATTAAATTTGTTAATTACAAATTTGCAATGAAATTTTCCGATGTCAAACATGCAGCTCATATTGCTTTAATCCATTATAACATTACCTCAATCGAATTCACTACTAATCATGCTCGGTATCATTGACTTCATCAGAATAAAGGATCTAAATCTGTCTTTAAGGGGATAATGGAACTTTAGCTGAAAATTAGTGAGGAATCAATTTTGACATTTTCTTTTCTTACCCAGGACGCCAATTGCTTTTAATTTATTACATCACCTTATTCTGAATCGGTGTCGCTTGACTCCAATACTGCTTTCATTACTTTCATATATCTTCTCTCCATCTTCATTCTTTTCCTTTTTTCTTTTTTAAGTTTGTTCTTGAGATTTTCATTCTGTCAAAACCAGTGATAAAATGCAGATTCGTATTAATTAAGCTGTTTAAGTAGATCCCCTGTATTTTAATGAGGATTCAATTTCGACATCTTAAACGAGGAATTAGGATCACTAAAGTATAATATACTGTAGAAGCACAAATATTCGAGGGGGATTTAATTTCGTTTATTTCATTGTTATCAATTTTCAACAAAATTATATCCAACACAAAACTTTTTATGACTATATATTGAATAGGGTTACTCTCAAAACAACGAAATTAAATGCCCATGAAACTATTTTTTGCGACATATAAACAAAATTTTATCCCAACAAAAATTTGTGCTTCTACAGTAACTAACAAGTCATTCCATCATTAGATGTTATGGTTTTCATTTAATCACACAAATGTTGTATACAAGGATTGAGATATTCAGAGAGAATCAAAGTGTGATACGAGGATTGAGATATTCAAACAGAATAAAAGTGTTATATAAGGATTGAGATATTCAGACAGAATAAAAGTGTTATACGAGGATTGAGATATTACAGAGAAAATAGAAGTGTTATACAAGGATTGAAATATTCAGAGAGAATAAAAGTGTTATACGAGGACTGAGATATTCAGAGAATAAAAGTGTTATATAAGGATTGAGATATTCAGACAGAATAAAAGTGTTATACGAGGATTGAGATATATAGAGAAAATAAAAGTGTTATACAAGGATTGAGATATTCAGAGCGAATAAAAGTGTTATACAAGGATTGAGATATTTAGAGATTTGAACATAATATCCATGATGTTCGAGATACATGTATAAGTATTACAGATACTTATTACACATACATGTGTAAGATATCAAAGAAGTATTTTAAAAAAAATATGATAATTAAGTTCTATGGATGGCAATGGAATACAGAAATACTAATCGGTTAATCGCAAGATGTTCCAACCGATTAACTGGTTAGTCGTATCAAAATATGCATTTTCTGGATGTATATAACTAGCTGTTTTTTCCTAACTAGATCTATTCATAAATATACACAAGAAGACTGATCAAGTCTGGAAGTTATTTGTCTTGATTTTTGCTTTTTAAAAAACTCAAGGTTATATATTTCATTTTAAGTTTTAACAAAAGGCCCACGGGCCTTATAGGTCACCTGAGCATTATGCAACAATGTTCCAGTTATTGAATTTGATTCATGTTTTAAAGCTGAACACGACTCGTAAATAGGCATACGCCATTTTTGATAGCATTATCTATGATACATCAATACTAGGGTATACTCGTCGCTTTTGTTACACCTGACTGCTTTATTCAGTTATTGTCACAGGTATCGGCGTGGAATGGCGACCCGTGTTCATGCTGGTTATCTTGCATTACCTTTGTGTATATATTTTATTGCAGTTACGTTTATCTATGTTGTTTGTATACTGCTCTGACTTATACAGCTATAATTGTAAATTTCTTTGGTATCTTACTTTCCTGCATTAGACGAAGTATTACGATATTATTCTCGCTACCAAGTCCTGTATAGCATCCGTCCGACTGATTAAACTGAACAGCCTCTAATTCTTGCCCTATTTATATGGGTCTGCAGGGTAGCGAGTCTCGGGAACTAAAATGGCGGATACATGTCTTTTAAGAATCGTGTTCAGCTTTAAGCCAGATGCTTTATGGCATTCACAATTTTGAAAGAGGCACCATTGATCAATATAACACTACACTTAGCACTTGCTTAGCTTGGTTACTGAATACCCATACGCAGGGTACGTGAACAATATTGCATTTCAACTTATCAGTAATATTCAGCAATAATCAGTAGTGCCCCTAACACTGTGACATAAACCCCTGACCCTAGGTCCACACATTGCACAAAATTTTAAAGGCACCCTTAAAATTGCCTTTCCAAAAAAAACTAAATGTTATATGAATATGAAGGAGCAGATTTCAAACAATTAATTCATTTTCAGTATATAAGTAGAGCCACCCCCACCCCTGACCCTGGGGCCTTGAATTCACAATTCTGCAAGATTAGGACCCTTGCTCATCATAACTATAAAAGTAGCTCATCTTCTTTATACCCAGAGACAGAGAAGAAAATTTTCAAAGATTTAATGTATTTTCACTATATAATCAATAGAGCCTCACCCTAACACCAGAGCCCCTAGCCCTGGGGCCATAAAATTCATAATTTTAGAAGAGGCATTCTTGCTCATCATAACTATGTACTTAGTTAGTTTATTTAATACCCAGGAGCAGAAAAGAAGATTTTCAAAAAAATCATGCTTTTCACTATATACTTATTTAGCCCCACCCTAGCACTACAACCCCTGACCCCAGGGCCATGAATTTCACAGTTTTAATAGAGGACTCAATGCTGATTACAATCATGCAAACAGTTTGACTGCTTGATGTCCAGGAGTAAAGAAGAGGATTTTTAAAGATTGCATTATTTTTAGTGGTTTTGGCCCCACCCCCCAGGCCCCAGGGGGGCAGGGATCATGAAATTCACAATATTTGTTCCTAGTGCTGTGCGATATTACCGGTTAACCGGTGTATCCCGATTTTGTTCTTCACAATACGTATCGCGGTATTATTTTGTGAATACCGGTTCGGGTTCGGTATCCTATAAATTGTTACAAAAAGAGTTATTTGCCCCTTTCAAGGTAAAATATGGCGGCAAGCAACGTGAAGTTTGATCGGAAACCAGAGACATGTATATCAGAGACGAAAAGACGACAACTGTTACATGAAAGCCCTTCATGTTAAAGCAGAATCTGAATATTACATTTTGATTCTTAAAGTTGTGCCAGAAAGACTTAGCTTGCCACTTGCGTACACACAACGCGATCAGGCAGTTGTAATATCAACTCGAGAATAGACATGGAATTTGAGTTTTTGTTTTCTTTTAACATTGATGAAAAGCAAAATTTATTAGAAATTTTATATTGTGATATATTGCAATACAAAATATAATATTGCAATATATTGCGAAACGATTTTTCAGCCGCGATACCCAGCTCTATTTGTTCCCCTTCACCCATAGATGCTTTGTGCCAAATTTACTTGAAATTGGTTCAGTGGTTGCAGAGAAGCTGAAAATGTTCAAATGTTAACGCACGACGAAGGACGAAAACGGATAGCAATAGGTCACCTGAGTTTACTCAGGTGACCTAATTAAGACTGTGAACAAACCACGAATCATATCTGAGAAATCATTGAAAGTTTTCAAATTAGGGAATAACTATCTTCTAATTTGGTATTTGCGACCGTTAATGCTGATTTAACGGTCGCAAACTAGTTTTACCGGCGACGCGTAAGCGGAGCCGGTAAAACGGATGTTTGCGACCGTTAAATCAGCATTAACGGTCGCAAATACCAAATTAGAAGATTAGTTATTCCCATTCTAATGCAATCCATGCATTTTGTTTGTTGTTTACGTCTTATTTTGATGAATTTTGTTACATGAAATACGTCACGGAGCATTGTGTTTTTGCGTCGCTCTATTATGACGTCACAATGAAAAAGCTTTCACGCTCGTTAATGCTCGTTTTACTGCTTCAAACATCAATGAAATAGCCAATCAAAAAATGTTTTACAAAACTATTGCATTAGAATGTAGATTTCACATACATTCATTCTGCGTCGTCGCCATGATTAAAACTAAGTCTGAAATACGTCACTTAATTTATAAAGTTTGTTTTAAATATCATAGTAATTTATTAGACAGAATCACTGCAAAAAATTAAAACATTCTTAACAGTGATGTAATTATAATTAAAGAAAATACGGGACAGTCAGGGTAACTACTTGGTGTTTTAACAATAATTAACAAGACAAATTACCCTTCAATCTTGATCCAGAGATTCATAATTACACCCAACTAAGCCTGGATATGTGAAAACACTGAATATCAAAGTTAATGCAAAGATTCATTTTTTTCAGAAATGAATTTTCTAACAAAATTGGGTTGAAATGTCTATAAATTTTATTTTTCCCACTAACCGATTACACATTTTCTAACCGATTACCATCTTTCTGACTGAGTAGTCGATTAACCGGTTACAAATCCCATCCCTATTAATTTCCTTCATACTCAATATTGTTCACCCTATTTGATGAAGACTACAAATGTCTTACTTTGTCTATACGTTTGATCAAGACTACAAATGTCTGACTTTGACTTTACGTTTGAACAAGACTACAAATGGCTGACTTTGACTTTAGGTTTGATGAAAACTACAAATGGCTGAGTTTGACTTTAGGTTTGATCAAGACTACAAATGGCTGACTTTGTCTGTACATTTGATTAAGACTACAAATGGCTGACTTTGACTTAAGGTTTGATCAAGACTACAAATGTCTGACTTTGTCTCTACTTTTGAACATGTTTTGTAAGATATACTTTACCCTCTTTAAGATTTCTGAATTTTCTCTGCTGTTTTTCAAAATCTTCATGACTCTGTTTAATTCACCTATGAATTTAAAAAAAGAAAATACATCAAAGGGTTATATACAGGTATGATCTTGTTGGACCTTCTAAAGGCTTTTAATACTGTGGATCATGAATACTGGTTTAGATCTTATTTGTCAAATATAGAAAGCAATTCACACACTTAGAAAATGTGACATCTGACACTTGTATAGTAAAATGTGACGTCTGACCCTGGTAATGTAAAATGTGACGTCTGACCCTGGTATAGTAAAATGTGACGTCTGACCCTGGTATAGTAAAATGTGACATCTGACCCTTGTATAGTAAAATGTGACGTCTGACCCTGGTATAGTAAAATGTGACGTCTGACCCTGGTATAGTAAAATGTGACGTCTGACCCTGGTATAGTAAAATGTGACGTCTGACCCTGGTATAGTAAAATGTGACGTCTGACCCTGGTATAGTAAAATGTGAAGTCTGACCCTGGTAAAGTAAAATGTTAAGTCTGACACTGGTAAAGAAAAATGTGACGTCTGACCCTGGTATAGTAAAATGTGAAGTCTGACACTGGTATAGTTAAATGTGACGTCTGACACTGGTATAGTTAAATGTGACGTCTGACCCTGGTATAGTAAAATGTGAAGTCTGACCCTGGTAAAGTAAAATGTGAAGTCTGATCCTGTTATAGTAAAACGTGAAGTCTGACCCTGGTATAGTAAAATGTGACATCTGACCCTGGTATAGTAAAACGTGAAGTCTGACCTTGGTAAAGTAAAATGTGAAATCTGACCCTGGTATAGTAAAATGTGACATCTGACCCTGGTAAAGTAAAATGTGACGTCTGACCCTGCTATAGTAAAATGCGACGTCTGACCCTGCTATAGTAAAATGCGGAGTAACTAAGAGCAGTATTTTAGGCTCTCTACTTTTTATTTTTAATTCATCTCAATGATATTGCTTCCAATATTGATCCTGAATGCAAACTTATTTATATGGAGATGATAGAGCAATTTTATTTTCACATAAAAATGTAGATAATATTTCAGAAAAAATTTGGCACTACTTTAAAACAATGTTCAAATTGGAAAGTATAGATATTAATAATTAAGTTATCATAATTACACCTGTGAAAAAAAAAATTGATTGTTTTATTTGGATCAAGAAAGAAACTTACAAATGTTCAAGATTTTCAATTGCTGTCAAACAATATTTCATTCTATAGAAAAAGTTAAATAGTTATGAATTTTTATTGACCAATTTCTGCATTCTTGCATTTTCACACTGAGAAGCTCGTTTTTAGATACAAGAAGTATATGCTATTATGCTCTGCTCTTGTACAATGCTATTTACAGTATGACAGCTGTCGCACTGACACACAACACACGGTCACACTAACGCATAACACACCATGTCACTGATTCACAACACACAGTCACACTAACACACAACACACCGTGGCACTAACACACAACACATCATGGCACTGACTCACTTTTGCTTCATGGAACAAAATGTACTAGTACCTATTAAACAAATCTGGAATACTATAAGCTGCATATCTTTCTTTGTATGTCAATACAAAAATGTATATTGATTTCTATTTTAAAAGAGTCTAAAACAATACTTTGTTTACTTTAAATAATATATGGAAACAGTTGAATTTTTTTTTAATTCAATTCAATGGATGTGTTACTGATATTAGCCCCACCATTCATTAATTGCATTATTCATTCTTGGGATTTCACATTTTTGAAGTTGTTTTTATTTAAAAATGAGACTTGTATGACAGGTCTTATTTAAATGTTTACACACTGTCTAGATAAGAAATATTTTCCTTTGTATAGTAAAACCTCGCAATATTGTGCGTTTCCTTTTATTAGTCTGACCCCAAATTTAATCATAGCAGTCGATATATCAACAAAGCATGACATCCTTCGTTGTTTTCAAATTTTAAAAATTACTTTTGTGCTCTTTCCACTTGGATTTGGTGATTAAATATTAATTTAATTTAATATGTTGTGACCTTTTCAAACCTATCAATTTACTAGGATCCTGACAGCAAACATCGTCTCAAACCACGGTCCGGAGTCAGCTTATATACATGTAGCTCTCTCCTACCCGTGGCTGTTTGATGACAAAAAGTGTCGTAATCTTGAATATTCACGCTTCTGTATTGTGACTTCATATTTAGTCAGTGGAAAGTTTTGTTTCAATCGCAATCGAAATCAACAACTGACGTCAACAGTATACAAGAAATATTTGCTTTACTGCGATTGGATATTGAAAGGTCTCGATAAAGTTCATCATCCGACTATGCTTTACTCGCATTGGTCAATATGTTAATGAGCTACGAAGAATTCTTTCCTCGTTGAACCACGGCCAGAATGGGAGAGGAGCGTACATGTTGGCCGTGGTTTGCGACGATGGACAGCAAAGGGCAAATAAACTTATCAGGTAAAAATAATCCATATGATATATAACTTGAGTTGAATACAAGGTTTTGAAAAATATTTTAGATCAAATTCTCTTAGAAATTACTTCACTGTTTTATAAAAATCAGGTCTTCTTGATGTATATTCAGAAATTCAATTTTTTCTCTCAAAAGAAATATTTCATTTTTATTTTTTTTCCAATAAAAATGATGCAGTTAATTGATTTTTATTAATATACACTTGCAGTTATACTTCAAGAAGGTTTCTGAAAAAAAAAATAAGACTGTACACGTCATCGTCTCACTGTATCAGTCCGTAATACACTACCAACCTTTTGTTTATTTTTTACACCATTTTTTGACAACAAAATTTTAGCAAATTTTAGAGTTACTGCCCTTCGCTTATCCATTGCTACAAAATCGAGGCGGGCGGGAGGTTTGTATTTCCCCCCATCCAATTCGCAGGATTTTAATTGACCGTTTCAGTCGGTGAATATTCTATAATGTCCGGATAAAATTCACAGTAGAGGTCCATAATAAATATTACGGCAATAATTAGTTTAATTACCATTTTTCAGCTGGCGCTGGACTGTCAAATTCATGCCGACATCTGCAAAATATTTTAAAACGAAAGTCGCGTGGTTTTTGAATACCGATCCCGACTAGAATTAAGACGATGTGACCTTCAGTTTTACATAAAGCACCCCCTATCACAGGGACTTGAGATAATCTAAGTTTTATATTATATACATGTACCCGATTTTCCTAAGATTGTTTCAAGTCCCTGTGGCATTATATTAATATTTTAAACTTCTATAAAATTAATTCAATTAAACATTATTTATAAAATGAATTTTTCAATTTTAATTTTGTATAAATTTGTTTATTCGATTCATTTTTTTTATTTACGTATATTTTAATACAATATATTTGAAATATGAGGCCAAATATTAAAGATATGGACAGAGTGACAAATTTGAATTTTGGATCAATCTCAGGCGGGAATCCAGGAATTGAAGTTAGAGGGGGCGCCAATACATGTAGTAGGCAAGGGGTCTGGGGGCAGCCTTGAGGTCCCCGGAAGCTCCTGGATTCTAGAGATTTTGTAGGGTAAAAATGAGGTCTACCAAGTTTACATATTTACATTCTTCTAGACGAAACTATGATTTACGTTAAACTTGACAATTTTAGGGGGCGCCCCCCTTAAATCCGCCACTGAATCTTCGTACGTATTTGACAGAGGTGATTTTTTTTTTTCGCATGATTCTGATGAAATCAAATCAATCAATTCATCACTTTTTAACTTAATAAACGTTTATCCTTGAGTAACAATTCTTAAGACCATAATAAAAAATAATCCTTGATTTTTATCCTCGCTCGTCCCAATTTTTTTTTTACTTTGTCTCGATTTTTTTTCTGTTTTTACGCATTAAAGTATATGAATTGTTAGAATGAAAAAAAGGCAAGCACATTAAATCCATCTAAAAAAGCATCTAATCGCTCAATATTTTAAAAAACAATATTAACGAAATTTTCTTGTCTTTAAATAGTTGAAAATGGGTGCCAATAATTCCAAAGTGAAATAATGTGAATGTGTTCTTGAATCTCACATACATGTACAGTGAAGTGAAGGGGATTTGTTGTTTTTATTTTGAATTTTTTGATTTGTGAATACTGTTTTTCTGGGGGGGGGGGGGGGGGGGGGTGTTTGGGTGGGGGATATGTTTTTCAAGAAAAAAAAAATCATTAAACTCGTGCTGTCAAAGGGAGATAAGCACAATATCGTTTACAGTACGTTTTGTACAGCTCCATGAAATCTACATGTGGTTAAAAAAGGGGAAGGAGAGAAAACATCTGCCGGTGAAAAGTAAATAAGCAGCTGATAAGGAACAAAATTTAGACACAGCTACACCGCTTTGTGATGTACTTTTCTCTTAATTCTTTTTTCATCACTAATAACTTCATGAATATTCCTTTTACATGGCTATGAGATGTATACTTTTCTCTACTTTTTATGTCTTTTAACCAGCAGCGCACCCTACTGACAATACTCAATACTATGAGGGATATAGAGAGAAATGTCGGAATCTGAATCGCTTATTGACCTTTCATCGTTCCCTTCTGTGTACGTAATAACTATGATAGCAGCTAGAACGGGAAATTATTCCAATACAGGCAGGTAGCATCGTTTTTGAAAGTAGGGGGGCAGCCAGAGAAAACAAATTTTTACTTACATGTACCCCTGAAAAACTTGACAAAAAGGAAAAGTTGCCCAATCCTATTACGTGGGGGGGGGGGGGGGGCTGTAGAGGCCAACTTAATCATTTTCTCTGTGTCAACTTCTTTCATTACCGATTTCCATGCTAGTACATTTTCCGTACATCACAATTAAATTACAATGTAGTAGGGGGGGGGCAGACTTTCTAAATAACATTTTAAAATAGTTAAGTAAGGTTGGGGGAAAAAGTGGGGGGCGGGGGCAGGCCCCCCTGCCCCCCGGCCCCCCTCCCCTCCCCCCCCCCCCCCGGTTGCTACGTGCCTGCAATGTATTTATTTACATTTGCATAGACCTGTTCGTATACTTACATGTACATTCCGCAATGACATCAATTAAATTTGTAGAAGTTATTCTTTACTTCATACGTGTACATATCTTATTTACTAACCCTTGAATCATCCTGCTTTATAAATAGCGAGTGGAAGAATGACTCGTCACAAGAAACTACTACTAGTACTACATGTAGGATTGTTTTAACGTTGAACTCCGCCTAAATTGTGCTAGCCTATCAATTAATGTCTTAATCAATGGATAACATGTATGTTTGCATATATTTTCTATTTACACTTATGCTGAAAACTGATATAATTTCAAGAATTTGAGCGGAGTCCAGTTTGGATCGACTTACCGGTGAGCCCTCGTGCTGCACGCTTCGACTATATTTAGATTACATGACCACGTGACAACCCTCAAATCGAATACTCTACAAACAATAATACCACCTCAATTTCTATATAAAACCTAATAAAATGCAATCAATGCAAAAATATTAAAAATATTTAAATGTATGAAGCCTTAAATAATATATATATGAGCGTGTATTTTGAATTTAAACAAAATAATTAAAGTGTAAACTCAGTTGCAAAAATGTTAAAAACGTATATACGGATCAATACGGATCCGTTACAGAAAGAGATTGTGTTACGGGTGCAGATCCAAAATAAAGGGGGTCACTGACTTAAACAAATTAAAAAGGAGAGGACCATTTGTTAAATAAATTGGTCGTTATCAAGCATACAATTCATAGGAGGATTTAGGGAGGTAGAGAGGGCTTGAGGAAGGATGCCCTTTGACGTGTATATCAACATGAACCTGACGAATGAAAGGGTGTATATGGAACACCCTCCAACCTCATAAAAAATGTCCTTAGTAGTGAAGTGACAAAAGTTTCTCTCTACTTTTTTTGAATTTTGAATTTTATGTATCATCCTACCCCACGGCTGATTTTTACTTTTTTGTACAGATATATTTTCAAGCAATACGTTTTGTCCGGTCGTAGATAATTCTATGGTCAAATTTTAAAATAATAGGAGATTAAAGATCAATGGAGGCAATCTGACCGTAACATTGAATTTCACAGAATCTTTATGAATAATCTGATGAACTTTTTACTGAGCGTTTACTCATAAAGTCAGCGGATTACAATGTACGGAATTAAGAGTTTTCATAGAAAGATTTTTAACAAGTATTGATGATTGTTGCAATTCTTGGAAAGTGGTGAACAGATCAATTAAAGGCGTAACACATTTGCTAGAACTGTAGTTTCTATATATTCATTGAATTACATGTATATATTTGTTCTTAACTCATTTGAAAAACTATACGGTAGAAACTTTGCAAATGAGCTAAGGGTAATGATAGCCGATCTTTCAAAAAGATATACTTTACATGTAGGTGGGTGGATAATGATTAGAACATTGCAAAATGTTTATCTCGTCGAAATATCCACATTAAATGTATGTCGTTAATGGATTTTGTATCTGCTAACTGAAAACTTCATATCTTTTTTTTAAAGCCTGACATTTATCAGATGTCCTGAAATAAATGTTATTCAATTTTGGCAGTATGTAAATGATGAAATGCGTAAACAAATTGTGTATCCCTTAGTTTTAATAATGACAAAGCCCATGTGTATGCTATAGAATACACTGAATACTAGTATATTTCCGAAGGAAACATGAAATAATTTCTGTAAAGTGAAGGAAAGTCTTGCAGGTGAAAGATTAAAATCGTTCTTCTTTTCTCTTTATGTTTCATACAAATACGTTCTGCGTTAATCTGTATCTTATGATGCAGAAAGTCAATATCCAATCTTGCAGGATATCTTATAAATTCAAACAGGAAATTCAATGTAATCGAAAAGTGACATGCTTGTCCTTTTACGTATTTTCTTATTTGAAAAAAAAAAACACTGTCAAAGCTTTCAAATGCTCAGAAATTTAAATTCAAACTGAATATTAGCTTTTTTTTATTAAAAGTGCAAGCTAATTTAATGTATTTAAAAATATTCTGATTACTATGACAGGTATGATATGTTTCTATTTATCCGTTTCCGTTACACAAATATATCAGGTCAATCAGAACAATAACACAATATACAATAAACAATAAACGAACAATGAATTTTATTGGTGTGGCCAAATGGAAAACTTAAAATGTACCTATTCTATCTTTTCCCACTTAATTCATTTCAAGACATTTTCTTTGGTTGTGCCCCCAAAACTGAAATTGCGACCCCTCCCCCCTAAAAAATGTTTCTTAAAGCCGTGTATGTACATGTATGTAAGATCCAGACATAATATCTATGACCAAACATTGTTAACTTATACATTTTTTTAGAATGGCTAACGTAACACGAAATATAAATAGTTTATTTATTTTTGGTAGAGTAAATATATTTGAATGAATAAAAATACGAAATATATGCATTTTCATGGATTGGGGAAGTCCATTAAGGTAAAAAAAAATCTTACTTTTGTGTAGCTTCTTTGAATTTTATTTAATTTTGCTACATTGTGGTGATTTTTTTTTGAATTTGAAATTTACATTTCACTAAATCGTGCAAAATTAGATAAAAATCAAATGATTTCAATTCTTGAGGAATCCCTCATTAATCCACCGAAATGTGTATAAAAATTTGATATGCTGTAACATTTGATGTTGTTTGTAGTACTACATACTTTGTTAAAGCTTTCTTAATAGTATTAAAACTGTAATTTTTTATCGGAAATTGTTCTTTGAATTCATTTCTCTTCATCTGTAGCATTGTGTTTGTTTGTTTTTTTTTTTTGTATAATGATTGTCTCAAGATGGGGCTCACCATACATCGAAAGAAAAAAAATAAACACCGTGGATTTAACGCTCAATTAAATGTTTAGTTGCATAAGAGGAGAAATGTCGTTTATTTCTCTTCTGACCCCTTGGTTGACCCCACAAAATGCGATGTGTGGTGTGGACTATTGAGAGAATACCTTAAATTAGAAATACACATGTAATGCAGGTTTTAATTACTTGTGATATACCGCATCCTAGGTCCACATGTTTAAATCATAAAGTCTTTCAAATT